TGAGATAACGGTTCAGATCTACCAGGATGGCTATAACGATAATGTAAAAATTATATACAAGAACAAGTGTTGGTGAGGATGTGGGGAAACTGCACCTGTGCAGTTGCTGGTGGGAATGGAAACGGTGCAGCTGCTGTGGGCACAGTCTGGTGGTTTGTCAAAAAGTTACACAGAACTATGATCGAATCTTGAAATTCCACTCTCAGGTATATATGCAAGAGAAATGCAAACATATATACCCACACACAACTTATAAACACATGTTCATAGCAGCACCGTCCACAAAAGCCAAAAGAAAACGTCCAAACATCCATCAAAAGACGAATGGACAAGCTGTGGTCTATCCACACAGTGGAGAGTTATACAGCCATGAAAAGATATGAAACACTGATACACGCTGCGACATGAGGTTCACAAACATCATGCTAAGTGAAAGAAATCAGACACAAAAGCCTACATATTGTGCAATTCCACTGACGCGAAAAGTCTGGAATAGATAAATCCACAGAGACAGAAGGCAGATGAGTTGTCTGGGGCTGCGGAGGATGGAATGTGGACAAACGGCTTGGTGGGTAAGGGGTTTTGACTTTGGAATGATGAAAATGATCTGGAGCTGGAATGACAGGTAAAGGGTTTTGACTTTGGAATGAGGAACACGATCGGGAGCCAGAAGGAGGTGGTGGTTGCCCGACATTGTGAACGTACTGACCTCCACTGAACTGTTTACTTTAACAGGGTTGATTTTACGTTATGTAAATTTCACTTTGCTCAATTCTTTTCAGGAAGTTAGTCCTCGTACCTTGTGGAAATTGTGCTAATTTTTTTTCTTATTTGTTGAAACCGTTGCTCTCCCTGCATTTATTACTCCCACCCTAGCTGTAATATTTCCCAGACAACCCCCTTCCCTGTGCTTGTCTCTTACATGCTGTCTTTTGGGGAGAGGGCATCTTTGTCTTGGAGGCTTGAGTGGCCACTGTGACTCTCTGGGCTGCTGCCACGGAATGCTCCCGCCTCCAGCCGCACAAATACTCATTCCTGTGCCCAGTGTGATCCTACAGGCTGACTAAATGCTTGTTCCAAGGAGGTCTTCTTTAATCTTTCTCAACAATCCATAAAGAAAACTCAGGAACCCTGGAACTCAGTGGGGTTCATTGCCTAATAATTTGGGCACTTCTACAAAACACTTCTTTAAAATATTATGTGATTGTTTTGCTAAAACACTACATATTATAGTTGTAATTCCTATTTATTGGTGATATCTTTGAGTATAAACAACATGAAAATAATTTCATTGAATATTTTTCCCTAAGACCTTTGACAAAAAATTGGAACTCATTCTTTTTTCCTTATTTCTAGAAAAATCTCCCTCTCTCTCATGTCAGAATCATAGAATGATAGCTAACATTTATTGAGCAGTTCCTATGCTCCACACACTGCTCTAAGCACACTGCAAAGCTATTACCACTCAAGACTAAAGGTGATGAAGGTGAGGACCAGGGCCTTCCCCTCCCTCTCACTGGGGAAACCAAAAGTTGACCTGGGCCAGTGTGTGCACAGCCTGAATCCCAAAGCACTGTAGCAGCACCACTCACACCAAACGTCCTATGTCTCGTTCTATTATACCAAGAGTTAGGGACCAAGAGCTTTCAGAAACTCATTCCCATCCCCCGACGTCCCACTGAATGCACGGAAATATGCCACTGCCTAAAGGCAAGCGAGAACTTCAGCAAAAGTTTCCACCAAACTGTACCTCCTGTACTAGACCCCGAGGGAGTGAGGGCATCACCACCAGCAGACACTGAAGAGGTGGGTGGTCTCCTCCAATGGCCACTAGAGAGGTAGGTCATCCCCCTCCAGCAGATGCCAAAGGGGTGGGTGGTCCCCTCCACTAGACGCTGGAAAGGTGGGTCTTTCCCTCCACCAGACACCAAAGGGGAGGGCCACCCCCTCCACTAGACACGGGAGGGGAGGGTCATTTCTATTTTGACCGTCTCAGGAATGATGTTCAGGTGGGAAGCCTGGAAGGAGAGTCCCACAGGGCAGGCTCCGCCCATCTGCGTAGCAACCAAAGGCAAATCTGTCTTAGAATAAGGCTGGGAAGGGAGGGAATCCGGGCTTTACCAGAGAGGATGGACAGATTGCTGAGCACCACAGAAGCTGGGGAATGAGGCAACCGGCAATGCTGCCTGGGGACACGGGATCTGGCACGAGACAGGGCATGGTGAAGTCCGCTCCGACCATCGTACGCAGACCCTCCTCAGGGCCGGAGAGGCTAATGGGCTGACGATGCAGGCAGGGTGCCCGGAAAGCCCTCTCAAGGTGAGACGCACCGGAGGTGAGGGGCACAGGGTGGACGTGGGCAGGCTTAGCTTCTCCAGGGGAGGCGTATTCTTGTTACCTGGCTGACTGCAGTGACTCCAGTGCAGAACGCACGTCCACGCTGTGTCAGCCTCAGAAACCTAAGCAGTTTTAACATGTCAAAGAAATTCACCACAAAGTATCTCTTTTGCACAGTGTGATTTTCTGTCAGGGAAAATTTTGTAAGATCAATCTAAAATAATTCAAAAGCTTTGTCTTTGAGAACCTGGGCCCAGGTGTGAACTGCGGCCCAGAAAAGTGTCCCAGATACCACGACGTAGGCAGCTTTCAATTCAGGAACACTCTGTTCAAGGACGGTAAAGTAAGTGAAGAGCACAACTGAGTTTCCTTGTAAAAAGCTTGTGTACATCTCTTTTCAAGTTTGACTCTAGGGTACTCGGACAGGCAGGTGGGGCACAGATGACTCCTGCAAGCAATGAACAGACTGAAGCTCAGAGAGGCTGAGCTACTGGCCCAAAGGACAACAGCTCATGGAGGGTGGATGTGCTGGTTTCCAAGATCCCAAGCCTGTTCTTTGGACACAAGGTCAGGGTCTGAAGCCTGTTACCCACTTCACAGACACCTACCCCCAGGGCCCCCCATACGGTAAAGGGAGACGGTGGGTGCTTTCTGCTCACCAGAGTCCAGACTCCCAGGCCCACGACCAACACTTTCGGGACAGAACCTGCCACCTCTCTACCCCCTCCACCTGCCACCCACTCATCCCAGCCTACCCCTCTTCACTCTCCCCCTGCCCAGAAGCATGTTGGGTTCTCAGGTCAGACAAAGTCTGAGGCTCCGTCTTCAACAGCATGCTGGAAGAAGGGAGCCCCTCACCACACACGTGGCACCTGCGGTCTTGGCTGGACCCAACAGCACTGGCCTGTCCACAGGGAGCAGCGGCTGTGCCAGGTGTGGGGGCACCCAGGTGGGGAACAGAACTGCTGCCCCAGGGCACAGAAGCACTGATGCTGTGTCAGCCAGGAGAGGCACCAACATTTTAGGCACCTTGAGGGGAGGAGGAGAACCAGGGCCTTGAGATTGGCTCAAACCTAGCTTTGCTGCTTCTCCGCAGGGAGACGCCGGGCAGGTGCTGAAGCCCCAACTTCCCCCGTCTACAGAATGAGTAGCCCCACCTTGGAGGTCTGAGGTGAGGGTTAGGAGGCTCCAGATGGCCTGACTTTTGTTCAGACGCAAAGAGAGAAAAACTCATTCTGTTTGGAAGGAGGGAGGCAGAGGTGTCTGAGCTGGACTCAAATGATTTCTCACAAAAATCTCTGAGATCTGGGGATCTGGGGCCTCCTGTGTTTGGCTGGATGATACAACCTCTGAACACAGGTCTCAGAGAGCCTTGGGGCAAATTACTTCCTCAGCTCAGCATTTTTTGGATACTTTACAAGTAATTTTTTGGATACTTTACCAGCCGGCCGGAGAGCTAGCCAGGGCCACAGAGCCCACAAAGGCGATTTCAGACTAGACCCACCTACCAGAAAGGCGAGCAGAGCCCCTCTACCAGGCTAAAAGATGAGGGGCCTCTGGCTAACACAGGGGACCAGACACCCTGGCCTCCTGGCTGGCTGCGAGGTCAGAGCCCGTGTGCTCCCAGCCCAGGCCACACCTGCATTTGCACACCAGATGCCACAGAGTGAAATAAAAACCTGGTGTCTCCTCAGAAACAGAAGTCTGAACCCACTTCTCGGTGGGGGTCACCAAGCACTGCTGCCCAGTGGGTTGTGATCCCATAGGGAATGGAAATGCTGAATATCTCACTGAATCTCGGAAACGTCGGCCTCCTAAAGATCTCTGAAGTTCCCCCTGACCCACAGAGCCTGGAATTTTGTGAATTCGAGGCAGGCTCAGGGAAATTGAAAGCTAAAACTCACCTTTGTCCACATTACATGAAGATTTACAGTAAATCTCTTCGGAAGGCTGAGAAACCTACCTTCCCAGGAATCCTGATTCAGGGCCCACCCGCTGCCTAAGGCTCAGCCAAAAGTATCAATTATGCCCCGTTTCAATGACTTTTAACTTAATTTTTTAATTATAGGTTTTAATTCTTAATTAGACATCTAAACATACCAACTAAACTTTTTAGGCAAAAGTGCTGCTGAGTAACAGAAGTAGAGTGTAATTACCACACCTCAACCACTCTTTAGTTTCACACGAAACAGGGAAAGGCAAACCCAACGTACTTTTTGCAACTCACATGAAAACCTGAAAACAGCTTTATCACTCTTTCCCCAAACCTGAAATAACTGTCTTGTTTTACTAGGAAATGTTTCTTGCTTAAATCAACTGGCATTCCAACACAAAAGTCAATCTTGGTATTTTTAAGTAAAAATTCTCTGTTCCGGCCACCACAGATCACTGCTCTGTCCCACGGTCTGAACCAAAGAGTAACTTCGCAACGCTCAGTTCTGGCGATGAGATTTCACAGACTCCCCTCCCCTGGCTCCCCTTCAGGCACCGAGAGGGCGAATCTGTCCCGAAAGCGGATTTCTCCTCCGAGTATTCACGAGGCTACGAGGAAAAGGGCGCCTGAAGCAGTTCCCCCCGTTCCCGCAGCCGCCGCAGGACCCCCAGGCCGGACGTTCGCGCCCCCGCGCCGGGCCCCACCCGCCCCCGCCCGCGCCCCCTCTTACCCCGGCGCCCGGGCCGCCCCCGCCGTCGGCTGCGCTGAGACCCATCCCGGCCCCGAGTCCCCCGAACTGACTCCGCCGAGGCCGCTTCGCCGCGCGCGTTCCCGGCCCCGCCCGATCCGGGGCAGAGAGGGGCGGGGCCGGGGTCTCCCCGAGGAGGCTCCGAGGGTCCGGCCTGGGCGGGGCGTCTCCCGGGACCCGGCTGTGCGGCTCCTCCCCGAGCGCGGGCGGCGGCGGCTTCTGCTTTTGTTCTCTCGGAGCCCGGGGCTCGGACCTGCCATTTTGTGGCTGCCGCCCGCGGCCCCCGGACGGGCCCCTGGTTTCCATAACGTGGACGCACAAATCCGAATGTTCCAGGGCACAGGCTCTGACCCCTGAGTTCTGCCGGTGTACGCGGACCGGACCCGATTTCCCGGGTCTAGGCCGAAAGGCGCCGCATTTCTGCAGGTGTGGACGGCGCAGACCCTCCCCTCCGTCCGGGGCCGCCGTGGGAACTGCGCGCCTGCCCGCGCCTGGCCTGGAGCTTGGGGGGCTTTAGCGGGGCCCCGAATTCTGTCACCCCCCGCCCAGGGCGCCTCGGGTGTCTGGCGCTCTGGAACGTGCTTTCCCCAAAGGTGCAATTTTGATGCCTTGATCTACAAAGAACCTCCCAAAACAAAGTCCCTCTCCAGGGAGTCCAGGGAGGCGGCTGTAGGGTTCTTGCTCTGGGCACCGGCTTCCTGCTGGGAACTCAGCTAGGGAGGGTCTCATCGAGTCCACCCGTCCAGGAGGGCCTCACAGGGACCTCACCTCCATCTAGAAACCTCCCTCAGCTTCTTGTCTCTCACCCCTACCCTGGCACCATCCCAAAAACTGCAGCACGGATGTGCTCATTTACAGATAATGCTCCGTTTGGTCACAGGTTACAGAGTGGATGAAGGGCAGGGACACAGCGGGGAGCCCCCCTCCTGTGCAGTAGGCAGTCTCCCTGAGATCCCTGTCTGCGCCCTCCTTGCTTCTCCATCTACACCTGTGTTCTCACTGTTCCCTGCCCTGCCCACCTGCTCTGCTTCCTAAAACCTCCAGCCCCATCCCTGAGCCCAGGCAGGGAGCTGACCTGTTCCTGCCCTCTGTGCTGGGCATCTGGGTGTCCCTCTGTGCCGACCCCTACCTGACGGCCCCGACACCCCTGCCTCATCCCCCTCCCGTCCCCGTGACAGTACTGCCCACGGTGCTGTGCAGGATGGGAACCACCTTTCTAAGCCTGTGTGGCCCCACAGCTACTGCCAGAGCAGGACCCAAGAATGTTGGCATGCCTCCGGGATAAACGGCTTCATCCCTGTTCAGCACCTCCAGGACGGTCAGCAGCGACCCAGGCGCCTGGTCAGGGTGCAGCCCAGAATCTCACTCTTTCTGGAGTCCAAGGAGCTCACCCCTGCCACGCCTCCACTATGCAGAAAGAAAGTAGGACCGTGTGGGGCTTTCTCAGCCCAGGAGTCCTTTGTGAGCTTCTCCAGCCCCAGTTTCTACGGATCTGGTTCCTTCTTTGCCATGGATCCATGGAATTAGGGATGTTTTCTAGGAAGTTTTTCCAAAACATGGACTACTAACATAGCTTGGTTTATTTAAAAAGTACTTACTTATCAACTACTACTGGTCAGTCACAGCAGAGCCCCCATCTTTGGGGAGCTGACATTCCAGTGGAGGGAAATAAACCAATGGACAGAAAACACAAATCCAGTCAAGGAAGGCCTTTCTGATGGGGCAGGCAGAGCAGACACTGAGAGGAAGCTACCTGGGACTTCTAGGCAAAGGAGCCACCTGTGCAAAGGCCCTGTGGGGTGGGGGTGGGGGGACAGATCTGGTGAGCTCACAAACACAGCAAATGTGGGGACACTGACAGGGGATGGGGTTGGAAAGGAGGCGACCTGTTCTGACTTACATTTCAGAGAGTTCAGCAGGCCCAGGCAGGAGATCAGGAAGTGGATGCCTGACCTTGGTGAAAGTGATGAGGTTGGGTTACGGGGGAATGACAGAGGTCGTGGGAAATGGTCAAAGCAGGACCTGTAAAGGCAGAGGGGGCAGGACTGCTGAAAAACTGGCTGTGGAGAGAAAGAACCCAAACAGCATAGAGGCAGACACTGAATTAGTGACCCTGCCACCACCCCCAGTATGCCCTCCGGTGTGCAGAAGTTGGAGGCTGCAATGCCACACTCCAGGATCCCTTGCACCTGGTGTGCAGATGTGCGCATTTTTGCCAGGAGATGCACTACGTGAGTGGGGAAGGAACCCAGGAATCGGGCTGGACACAGCAGATGGGTGGTGAGGTGTTCGGTTCTTCTGGGTCCTGTCCCTGGCATTGTTGGTGCTGAGCAGCAGAGGGGTTTCCCTAACAGTCCCACAGCGTGGCTGGGCGTTTCTCCAGGGTTGTGGTTGTTTCTCGCTGTTCTGCTTTCCTGACTCTCCCATGGATGCTATGATCTACCCAATGGCTTCACACATATCCTTCACTGCTTAAATTAGCTACAGCGGATTCTGCTGTCTGCAGTCAAGAGTCAGCAGCAACACAGCAATTCAAGGATTTGGGGCCTGACCAGCAGGTGGAAGGTGTTGCCATTGACTGAGATGGGAGAGACTGGAGAAGCATGTCCAGGAGGAAATGCCATATGAAGACTGAGCTGCCTATTGAACGTACTGAGTGGACTCCCTGCTGCATGAGTTTGGTTCTTGGAGTAGCGGTTGGGTTGAAGATGTGGTTCTAGAACCACCTACCATGCAGGTATGTCTAGACAGATGGAACTACGTGTGCAGACAGAGGGCATGAGGAACTAGGACTGGGCCAGGGAATGTGTCCATGCTTAGAAGTCACAAGAGTGATAGATCTCCTTCCCAAACTCTTTTTAAAAACTGGAATGGAGGGAACGCTTCCTAACATATGGTAGGAGGCCAGCACTTCTCGGATACCAAAGCCAGATGAAGACATTGCGAGAAAGAAAACTACACACCAATATCCCTTATGACTACATGTGCAAAAAACCTCAAAAAGATGTTAGGAAATAGTATGTTAAAAGGACTGTTCACCACGACCGAGTGGGATTTATCCCAGGAACATGGGAGTGGTTCAATATAAGAAAATCAGTCAATGCCATGCACTGCAGCAGCAGGACGAAGGGAGAAAACCCACACGATCATCTCAATCGATGCAGAAAAGGCTTCTGAAAATCCAATACCCTTTCGTAAAAAAGCTCTTGGAAAACAAGGACGGGAGAAAATTCCTCAAGTGATACAAAGTATTTATGAAAAACCCACAGCTAACATCATTCTAAATGGCAAAAGACTGAACATTTTCCCCAAGATCAGGAAGACAAGGGTGCCCACTGCTGCCATGTCCACTCAACACTCTGCCGCAAGTTCCAGCGACAGCAACAGGGACAACCAACAAAAAATAAATAAATGAAAGACTTTCAGATTGGAAAGGATGAAGTAAAACGCTCTCTGTTCACAGGTAACATGTTCGTATATAGAGAAAATTCCAAAGAATACACAAAAAGCTACTAGAGCTAATATAAAAATTCAACAGAGTTACAGGGTACAAGATTAACATGTGAAAATCAGTATTTGTGTTCCTATGCAACAGCAATTAATACGAAAAGGAAATTAGGAAAGCAATTACATTTACAATAGCATCCAAAAGAATTAAATACCTAGAAATAAGTTTAACCAAGAAAGTGAAAGATTCATATGCTAAAAGCTACAAAATATTGAGGAAGAAATTAAAGAAACAAATATATGGAAAGCCAATGTCATGTTCATAGATAGAAAGACAACATTGCTAGGACGTAAATACTAACCAAAATGATCTACAAATTCAATGCAATCTCTTTCAAAATTGCAATGGCTTTTTTTGCAGAAATGAAAAGGCAGGTCCCCAAATTCACGTGGAATTGCAAGGGGCCCCAAATAGCAAAAACAATCTTGGAAAAAGAATAACAAAATTAGGAGACTCATACATACTTCCTGAATTTGAAATTTACCCCAAAGCTACAGTAATTAAAACAGTACAGTACTAGCGTCAGGACAGACTTACAGACCAACAGAATAGAAAAGACAGCCTGGAAATAAACACTTAACATAGACAGTCAAATGATTTTTGGCAAGGGTGCCAAGAACATTCACTGTGTAAGGGACAGTCTTTTCAACAAATGGCACTGGGAAAACTGGATATCCATATGCGAAGAATGAAGTTAAAGCTTACCTTACACCTGTAAATGATTAACTCAAAATGAATCAAAGACCTAAACTTAAGAGCTAAAACTATAACACTTTCAAAGAAAACACTGCAGTAAATCTTCATGGCATTGGATTTGCATTGAAGCACACTCTCAAGAAAGCAAAAAGACAATCTTCCCAGTGGAGAAAATATCTGCAAATCGCGTACCTGATAAGGGCCCAATTTCCAGAATACATGAAGAACTAAAACTTCACAACAAAACAACCCAATTTAAAAACGGGCAAGTAAGTTGAATAGACATTTCTGCAAAGAAGATAGACAAATAAGCACATGAAATGATGCTCAACATTAGTTATTACAGAAATACAAATCAAAACCATAATGATACTACTTCATGCCTACTAGAATGGCTCTAATAATATACTTTTTAAATGGAAAGTGAGTGTTGGCTAGGATGTGGAGAAGTTGGTACCCACAGGTTGGTGGGAATGTAAGATGGTGTAGCCACTGCAGAAAAGTCTGGTGGTGCCTCAAAGAGTTAAACATAGATGTACCATAGGACCCAGCAATTCCACTCCTAGTTGCAGACTCAAAAGAACTGCAAGTAGGGACTTGAACAGATAACTGTACACCAACGTTCATGGCATTAATCACTACTGCCAAAAGACAGAAACAAATCAAGTGTCCATCAGCAGAAGAATGGATGAACCATATGTGGTCTCTGCACACAATGGGATATTATTTGGTCATAAAAGGGACTGAAATGCTGAGATCTGTGACAGCATGAATTGAATGGACCTTGAAAACCTTATGCAGACATGAAAGGACAAATACTGTATGATCCCACTTCCATAAAGGAACTAGAACAGGCAGATTCATAGGGAGCGAACGTAGACATTATCACGGCCTGGGGAAGAGAGCAATGGGGAGTTCTCACCTGGGTACAGAGTGGATGTCTGGGATAGGGAAAGTGTCGGGTATAGATTGTGGTGATAGTTACACAACATTGTGAATGTATTTAAATGCCACTAAATGGTACACTCAACAAATGGTTAGAATTGTAATTATTGCATATACTCTACCACAATACAAAATACTAGCAGTACTGTAACCACCCAATCATGAATTATAACTGATTATAAAACATAATGTGCTATTATGACAGATTTCTAGATAAAAACTTTTGGTTGCAAAATCCAAAATATGGATGAACCAACAAGGCTGTTGCAAAGGAGCAGCCAGTGAGGTAGGAAGAAAGGGACTTGAACAGATATCTATACACCAACGTTCATGGCATTAATCACTACTGCCGAAAGACAGAAACAAATCGAGTGTCCATCAACAGAAGAATGGATGAACCATATGTGGTCTCTACACACAATGAGTTCCAGGTCCAAGGAAGCAAGTGTTTTAAAAGGGGGAGAATGACAAACCTTGGCCAAATGCTATTGGTCTATCAAGACGGGAACGGAGAACTGATCATTAGATTTGGCAACAGATAGATCACTGGTGACCTCAGAGCAGCATCCACAGAGTGGTGGGGACAGCTGCTCAATGTGAAGGGGACAGAGCCGATCAGAAAGGGGAGGGGAGCGGGGGTGGAAGGGAGACGGGGGAGGGGAGGAGGAGCAGGGAGAGAGGGGAGAGGGAGCGGGAGAGAGTGCCGGGGAGAGAGGGAGGGGATCCTGGGAGGGGGTGGGGGGAGGCCGGGAGAGAGGGAGGGATCCTGGGAGGGGTGGGGGAACGGGAGAGAGTAGGGAGAGGGAGGGGTGGGAGAGAGTGCGGGGGAGAGAGGGGAAGGATCCTGGGAGGGGGTAGGGGAAAGGGGAGGAGAGGGGGAGAGGGAGGGGAGAGAGTGTTGGGAGAGGAAGGATCCCGGGAGGGGTGAGGTGGGAAGGGGAGGAGAGTGGGGAGAG